CTTGCATGAGGCCCATTGTGTTTTAAACTTTAGATTTTGTGTAAAATATCAAGTCTTTTCAAGTCAAGTCACAAGTTATAATATTAATGACTGAGTCTGACTCGAGTCCCCAACCCTGGTTAATTATACACTGCAATATTCTTACAATAAATTAAAACTATTAGATTATAATCTTAATCTCTGAAATATGTGGAACAATCTGCTTTAGTAAAACTCACAWTAAGGAAACTTCCAGGGTAACACAATTAGTTATCAAACACATTCTGCTTTACAGATTATTGTTTTATTTCCCTCCAGAGTTACGAAGCAGGGCCAGGAATCGAGCAGAAACTCACCTTTATGAWAAAGTTCTGTTTGGTGTCTGACAGTGAAGCAGCCAAAGGCAGAAGGTGTTCCTCTGCTGTGAAATGGCTCCAAAATGTTCCTTTAGCTGCTGTAAAAGGATCAGTCAGGACCTGAGCTCATGTTTGTCCCGTTGGAACGATTAGAGTCAGGACTCGCTGCCCRTCTTCTTAAGGGGCCTGACGACCCCACAGGGTCTGCTGGCTTCTTCCAAACTCACATCTGTTCTCAGAGTTTTCATCAGCAGCGTGAGGACTGAGTTCAGACCTGATTTAGCAGGTTTTACTCAACAAACACACATAAAGTTCATCTGCAGCTCAGTAATGTGTGAGGATAATAAAACTGCAGCTTGTGGGCTGGGGCTTTTATGTCATTCAGAAAAAAACTCATTTCCCCAGTTATCTGTTTCACCAACAAACTTTTTCATTTTTCCATTTGTTGCTGTTATCAGTTTCATGTACATCCAGCACAGGTGTTTTCAGACTGATCCAGATATTTGCTTGTGTCTCTAAGCTGCRGAGCGTCGTGTTCAAACTTCGGCTGTACTCGCTCTCTCTGCACATTTCCACATTGCGGTCAGGAGAAGTAATGGCATTGTTAATTACCACCCTGCTGCTGTTGCAGCTGGCCAATATCTCACTTCCTGCCTTCACTCTCTCAATCACACCTGCCAGTGTGGGAGTGATAAACTAGGTTCACAGGGGAGCGCGTGTGTGTGTGTGTGTGTGTGTGTGTGTGTGTGT